GGATAATTGATGCTAGTGTGGGTTGGAGGGAAAAATATTCTGGAATCGAAACAATCATCTAGTTTGACGGTTAGCAAGTGCATCAAAGTGCATCCACATGGGAAAAAACAAGGAAATGATATGTTACACTAAACCTCCTTCCTTCATGCTAAAACCCCATATAAAGGGTGGTCCACAGACCCCTTCCTTTATTTTGCTTATACTGTACCGCATGCAGGCGTGCGGGCCTGTAAGAAAAACCTATAATATAACAACAGTCTGGTGCTGTCAATTATTAACCAGTGGAGGATTGTGAAATTTTCATTGTATTGTGGGGTAAAAGCACTGGAATAATAATATGATATTGTTATTTCAATGTACAACGCGGAATTGTACATCAAGTAGCTGGACGTTTTTCTAACAGTGGCGGGCTTGCCTACCCTAGCTCGCCGTTGTGCCTTATGCGAGTTATGCAACCCGGCAGCACGCCTGTCCGGTACGGTATGAACAACATAAAGGAAGGGGTCTGTGGTGTGGACCACCCAGTATATTGCACGCAATATCATTTCGAACTGACATAGCTACGACTTCGACAATCATTTATTATTTATTTTTGCTCCACTTTACCCCGGATAATGTGAGAGGGGCTACTATCTATGCGAGCTCCGGCCAGTGCCCCTCCCGCCATATCTCTCGCACTCGAGACAACTCGACACTCGATGCAACTATCTCTCTCGCACCTATATCTATCTTGATCGGCCCCCGCGCTGCTTCCAGATGTGAGGCAGTCCCCGCAGCTCCAGGATCACGCTAGCGTGAACTCTCACCCGCGTCGACCTCGACGCGCCGTGCCATGAGGGACGCGACGGAGGCCCGGGCGCCGCTGGCCGAGGCCGAGACGGACGCAGCGAGTCCGCCTGGCCCCGCCGAGGTCAACGGGTCTGGGGCGCCGGTGGGGGTGGCCGAGACCGCAACACCCCAGTCAGGGGCAGAGGAGGCGAGGACCAAGGCCACCGAGAACGCGACTGAGACCAATGCCGAGGCCGCCGAGGAAACGGAGGTCCCGAAAGCAGGAAATGATTCGGAAGGGGTAGAGGCAGGCAAGGGTGGGAAAGCCGAGGCCGACAGCACGACGTCCAAGGCCGACGGGGAGGAGCGGACGGAGCGCGAGAGTCCATCAGCCAACGGCAAGACCCATTTGCCCGAGGAGGAGACCCTGCTCAAGAAGGTAAGCATCGGCAGAGACCGGCGGACCGGAGTCTTCGGGCGGTCCAAACTGATCGCGACATTGTACATTGTACAGGTAGTGGAGCCGCTCCAGGTCGTCGAGAAGTTCGACTTCTGGAAGCTCTCGCTGAGCGAGAAGACGGCGTACATCAGGAAGAACATTACGGTGGAGCCCATGCTCGCCATGTACACCATCCCCAGCGTTCTGTCGAGCCTCGCGACTCAGAACCTTAGCCTGGAGAAGGCCTGTCGGGTCAACCTCGGCTACTCAGACGACATCTGCGACGCCCTGACACGCCGGGAGACGGCCAACTACACCTTCGAAGAGTCCGAGGTTAGCTACACCCTAGTACCGGGTACCACTTAGGGTGGTGTGGTTACGGCAGCACCCCGACACTCACCACCAAGAGAGTTTAAAGTCCGAAACTTTCCTGGAAAATTTTGAAACTTTTTCAGAAAATGTCGGGGGAAAGTCGGAAAAAAATTAGGAGAAATTTTTAAAAATCTAGAAAAATAAAATCCCTACACTCCTTGCACCTCGCAGGTCCAGAAACTCACCGCGAGCATGGCGGGGTGGAAGACTTTCATCCAGAGCGCGCTGCCCGCGGTGATCATCCTGTTCGTGGGGTCCTGGTCGGACCGGCACGGCTGTCGCAAGCCCTGCATGCTTCTGCCCATCATCGGGGAGTTCCTCACGGCCGTAGGCCTGCTCGTCTGCACCTACTTTTACTACGAGCTGCCCATAGAGGCGACCACGGTGAGATCGCCACTGTCCTGAGTTTAAGGGTCAGCGATTGACCAAATAACATAGTTGCTAATTTCCTCGACTACTTTTCAACTTCATTCTTTCCCTCACGACCACGACTTTTGCGCGACCCGGCAGTTCTCCGAGGCGGTGTTCCCCGCGATGACGGGAGGCTGGTTCGTCATGTTCATGGCCGTTTTCACCTACATAGCCGATGTCACGTCCGAGGTAGATCGGACCTTCCGCATCGGCGTTGTCAACGTGTTCTTCTCCATTGGCATCCCCATCGGCATGGCGTTGTCCGGAGTGATGTACCGGTTGATCGGGTGAGGCCAGAAAGTCATGTTCTTTTTTAACCAAGCAAACAAGAAAGAGCGGCAAAAGAGAGAGGGGAGGGAGGTCAATTTCCATGTTAACTTTCCTTGTCGCAATGTTCCCAGGTTCTACGGCGTGTTTGGGCTGTCCGCCTGCATGTACCTCTGCAGCTTCTGGTACGGCTACAAGCACATCAAGGAGACGCCCAAGAAATGGTCGGGCGACGGACCCGAGCCAGCTGGGCTGGTGGGCTTCCTCAAAGACTTCTTCGAAGTGCGTTATCTACTCGAGACGTTCCACACTTCGTTCAAAAAGGGCGCCAACAACCGGCGGGTGCGGGTGGTGCTGCTCATGGTGGTCGTCATGCTGGTCATCGGGCCGATGCACGGCGAGAACACCGTCATGTACCTCTTCGTGCGGCGACAGTTCAATTGGGACGAGCTGGACTTCAGTCTCTTTTCCACGTACTGCGTCATCGTGAATCTCATAGGTTGGGCATGGTATCAAGGGATGGGCATAGGTATCGTTCAGAAAGTGCGTTCGGTTTTCTCAGATTCATTTGGCAAATTACGGGTGGAGTGCCTGCGAGAGTCGAGGTAGGCCATCCCGCAGTACACACATGCACGACAGGCAATAAGTTGTCTACCTACCAGGCGCTGAACCTGAGCTAAATAATTAGTAGGTTCAAAACGATGAATGACTGGCGTACTTTCTGGATGATCCCAAGCAGCGTACTTGAAACTACAGCGATGAGAGCAGGGGGTTGCAGTACGAGGGGTCCTACTAGAAAATGCAAGAGTACACCAATTTTTCTGTTTTTACTTGATTTATTCTTATTTTTTCCGATTTTGTGGGGAGGGGTGTATACTGTTGCACACTTATTTTAATGAGTGAAGGACCCCTCAAAGGAATCCGCTCGCCATCCCAGCTCTCTCGGCAACTCAGTGTGCTTCCAGGGACGCTGTTGTCGGTCGGCCTATTCAGCTTCCTCCTCAAGTTCGACGACAGCGTCATTGGGATGATGTCCTGCGCGTCGAAGATTGCGGCCGGGTTCGTCTACGCGTTTGCAACCACGGTGCAGGTGGTGCGCATCGGTAAGCACACGGAGGCACGGAGGGTGGCCCTCCTGGCCTGGCCCTTCGGCCCCGTACTCTCTCCTGGTTATGGCTCTGGATGCAGGCGTGCGGGCGAGCTTGCGGGCTTGCTCACCGAGGCGTCTTAACGATCATGCAGCTACACCGTTTTAGTTACAACCGACATGGCACAGGCACCTTCATCCGGTCAGACTATAGAGAAAAGACGAAGTCAAGGTGGGATGGGGAGAGGGTAGCGGAGGGTAGAAGAGGGGCGTGAGCATTAGCGGCGCCGGGCGGACTTTTTTTCTTTGCTTCGGGTGAAGGTGCCTGTGCCCGTGTTGGTTGTAAATACAAACAGGGACGTTAAGGCGCTTTACGGCTCCGTGCGGGTATGCAACCCGGCCGCAGGCCTAGCGGCCGTGTCAAATGGGAAGCCTACCTTCCGGGCGCTCGGCCAGCGAGACTCATGCACATGGGACACCCGTTGTTTGACCCGCAGCACCGCTGATCGACATGATGAACGGCACTTCGTTCATCGCCATGAGAGCCATAGCGTCTAAGCTCGTTCCCAGTGATGAGTTGGGTAAGATAATTGTATTTAATTGTGACCCATTCGAAAATATCTTTGAAAATGTGTTTACCTGCATTTCCCAAATAATGTCAGTTTACAAGACATTGTTTTGTCCATCTTAACACGTTCCCTGCGGCGTGACCACTATGTGGTCACGCTCCCATGTTAAAGCAAAAATTAGCCGCAGGGAACGTGTTAAGTACATCGACGAAGTATATCTGACGCAGAAATATTAACACCACACTTTACCAGATTGGTTTTGGTGATGCAACTGATAACTTATAATTTTAAACTTCAAACCGAATGAGAAGTTGAGACCTGACAGCTGATAGCTCATAATTTATTTTTTACTCGTTCTTTACCATATCCTACCAACATCGACTTTGAGGTAAAAAGAACGAGTAGAGTATTGTTGTCAGTGCAGTCACACCTTAACTGATTCCACTTTCATCTCAGAACACACAACACCCACAGACATAACAATAGTATCATTGCACAGCGCAAATTAAACAACTAACAGAATGAACTTTTTTTTTTTTCAGGTTTAATAGTATTTTGAGATCCCTTCACAAATTTTGCACAATTTCATTTCAAGTCCCTTACCCTGCTTATTACAGTAATCTGAGAAGACACAACTGCTTCAAACTTAAAAGTGATAGGTACTATTCAAAATTAGGAGCCTTGGTGTGTGTTTTAACGATGACCTTTTGCACGTTTAATAGTATTATTTTGAGAACTCGAGTTCTGTTAAGATCTTAGCAGAACTTTTGAAGGTTTTCATCCTAAGTGTGGCTCGGCCCCACGGGCTCTGTTTAGACAACAGTGTGGACTAACATATATAGAAATATTTTTCAGAACTAGCCCGCTCAAAATATCAACACTTTGCACAAAAAGTGGCACTCTTTTTCTGACTTGTCCCCATTGCCCCTACCCACTAACACGACATTTTAAGGGTTTCACAACTGCAGTCAGGACAATACTTATTCTCTTACAACCGAATATGCTGACAAAGTGTGATGTCTGCAAAAAACAAGTTTCATATTTCACACAAAATTGTTTTGTGTTTTCCTTCTCCCTTGTTTAACCAAGAGATTACATCTCAATCAAAAAGTAAAGATCTGATGGGTATCAGTTGTGATTGTTAATATTTACCCACACCAATTGAAAACTACCTTATTGACTTGTAAGTCGACTTTAAAACATTTCTTTGGTTTCCCACTCTAACTTGTTTGACTTCCAGTGTTGTAAAGAATTCTTGCTGTATAAATCCCAAATTATGGGGGCACAAGATGACTCCAATGGGTAAATTATGTTTGATATTCCACAACATTCCTCCTCACCAACTCATTAATGCCGAAGCCAAGAAAGGTAGTAACAAAGGTGTAAAAAAATTATGAAGTGGTTACATTTTAACTTGAGAATTTGACTATTTCTTGGCGAGTACCCAAAGGCGCCAAAATAAGAAAGTTCTGCAAATGTAACTCCCGACCATCAGCGTTTACCACCTTTCTTGGCTTTGAAAGTCCTGAGTAAAATAATAGGTACTTATGACTTCTATACCTCTCCCTGCCACCTTTCATTACCTGCTCATTTCCTCTCAGGCAAAGTCAACTCCCTGTTTGGAGCGTGTGAGGCAATGATGCCAGTAGTGTGTGGACCTCTGTACTCCAAAGTCTATCAACTAACAATGGACACACTTCCTGGAGCATTCTTCCTCATGGGTGGTGTAATAACAGGGCCAGCTTTCTGCATTTTTGGGTGAGCTTTCTTTAACTAAAACATTAATGTGTAGGTAGTTGACAGCATCTATTAATAATTGTCCTCTTGCAGATGGTACTACTATGAAGCAAGGAAAGATAGACGAAAAGCTCAACTGAAGGAGATAAAGGGTCCTTAGGTAAAAAATAAAGTATTAATTTTATTTCATTTATTTATTTGAGCCAATTTCTCCAGTCAAAACACATGATGAAAAAGTACTCAAAGCCTGATAGGGAAGGGAAACAAATGTGATGTAGACATACAACTGAAGTACAAAACACAAAGTGAAGCTAAAAAAAAATTGTCTGATCAGATTTGGTGGTTATTTTCATAAAATCAACAACACGGACCAATAGTAATCATCATTTGACAAATTTCTCTTACGTTAACGACTAAGCTGTTTCAGAGATCTTGGTGGTAATTGTGTGTCAGCACAACCATTCAGTGCAGCAAATACAATGTCATCATGACAGTAGTCGTGAACAGAGTTAAATGAGTTGATGTGGAACTGTGATTCGTCAGAGATCTTGGTGGTAAAAGATGGTCAGCACAACCATTCTGAGTAGCAAATACAATATCATCACTTTCACAGTCCACAGCTTGGAGATTTAAACTAGACTCTTACCAGAAAAGGAGAGGGGCAAGTCATCCAACAGCCAACCGCAACTTCACAGCGACTATCCTGAAAGAGAAATACCATTAGAATTTATATACAACATGGGTGTGAAAAAAAATGAAATTATGTTATCAATGCTGCATCAGAGATCTTGGTGGTATTGTGTGTCAGCACAACCATTCAGTGCAGCAAATACAATATCATCATGACAGCGAGATATATCTGGTGGCAGCAAGTATAGAAATCTTACCTTGGCAGAATTCCCTTGGTATTGAAATGGAATTGATTGTTGATGCTCCCCAATACGCCACACAAAAGACCAGCCTGAAACAAAAGCATTAGCTGTAGCATGGCCTGAACAACTTTCAACAACTTTTGCCTCGCAAAAAGGTAAATGTACTCCTATGCTAAGTATATTCATTGGTGAACAATAAATATTGCTGATAGCGACAGAAGACTTTATTTCCCAATGATTTGGAGGTAAGAAAGGTATGTAGCACCATTCCCACTAACGAGCATTGGCAGATAACAAAATAAAACGTGGTGGGCAGGGGAACGAGAGAAGAGGTCCGCAAGAACAAGCACACCTGACGTGAGCAACGGTTGATGTTGAAACCATGCAGCAATAACGTACCATCACAACCATCAGGCTGAAATCCACAACGGCCACCGGCATCTTTGGCCAGTAAACGGAAAGCGAGGAGAGAAGGGAGAAGGGGCAAGACACAAGAGTGCACACGGCACACGCACGAGGCACGCCACGCACGTGCATGAGAGCGGGGCGACACGCGAGTACGAGTACTACGAAGGCGGTTAAAAGCTATGTCCCGGGCATCGTCGAATATAAACGAGAGGAATCAAACCTAGCACTGAACTCGTTTCAACTTTTGAACACTATGAATACTCACATTTCCTCCTGGATCCAAGAACATCGTACGCGTGGTAGCGTGCATCACGCATGTGCTGCCTGCCTGCGTGACTGCCTGAATATAAAAAGTGCTGCCTGCCTGCATGACTGCCTGAATACGAATGACGCTTGCTTAAAGTAAAGTGTATTTTCCACGACTTTTATAAAGCTGTGGTACAAGGCGGTGGCTTTTTCAGAAAAAGCAGTATGAGAAATTACAACGACCAACTTTTAAAATGGACGATCAAAAATGAAGTATAATTCACACGTTACACAATGAGGTATTGGAAAATTGATTTCAAAAATCACCCAAATTGGCCGTAGGAACTGGCAATTATTGGAAATGTGGTTAAATGTGTTTGATATCCCATCCCAACTTCTCTTCAGATATCGGGATTTGTCATCTCATTAGTAGCCTCACTCCGGGTGTGTTCCCGTAGGTAGGGGGAGTGGAGGGGGCGGGGGGTGGTGTGCGGGGAAAATTCAGTCAGATGTAAAATATCAACGTAAACAAATACGGTTCTGTCTGTCGCCGTCGGAACGATTTCTGCGACTACTTGTTTTTTATTCGTGTAGTATCTTCAGAATTATCTGCATTTAGCATTTACCGTTTATGTCATTCCTTAAACGTCACGTGAAGTAGCGGGCATGTGACTTCTTTTCTCCAGCCGGAATCATAACCTGAATTATTTCATCACCACCTGCTGTTACTTTCTGAATTATTTCACGCTGCATCTAAACAACCCGTTCGAATTGTACAATAACAGCCCTTTCATGCAGAGTAAGTTGCTGAAGCCCACTTCACGATCTCATCAATGTATCAGGATGTTTAATTGTTTCTCAACCCAATAGTACATCACTGTTTATGTTCATTTAAATGAGTAACTTTCTCTGACTCCACTCATTCCAGCCTGTACAGTATCAATGGCATATCACAGGTTTTTTTATCTTTGTTCCAGGAATGGAACGGTTTGAACTAGCAAAAAGATTAAAAAGGTTCCTTGAAGTCCATCTCACGTAAGTACCATCTAGTCATACACTTATGTTTACTTGCGTACCCCTTAACTTACTGAATTTGTTTTATTCTTCCAACAGAAAGCGAAGACTTTTCTTAGGTATAGTTATTTTTGGTTTAATCCTGTACTTTGGACAGCCAAGAGTCGGGAGATGGCTCTACAGACCTCAGGCGATAGTTGATGGTATGTATGGAGTGTCCTTTTCTATACAATATTCCTCATTTTCAATTGGAAGTCCCTTCAAGAAAGTTTTATAATTTTTCAGATATGGTTGAAAGGTGTATGGAAGATAGATTAACATCATTTCACTCTGAAGCCTCAGAGTATGATGCTAATATTCTACATTCTCCCCCTCAAGAAAATGAATTTTCCTACCTGCCGTATGTTGGCAATGGTTATATCGGCCTTCCTGTCAAGTTTGATGGCAGAATTATGATACGTAGTGGACGGACTTTGTCTCAAGAAGTTCCAATCAGACCACTTATTTCTGTTTCAATGTCGGGCAAGTTTGCTGAAGCATCCGTTGTGAGGTACTTGTAAAGCCTTCTAAATGGATCTGTGAGTTCAGAGCATTGCTGGAAATAAAGTGTTTTTTCTCTTAGATATTTGGATGGTGTGGTATATCGATACCAATGTATGCGGATGGGTCTGTACGCCAAGTATCAGTATTATGCCCATCGAACTATTCCAGGACTTCTCATTCAAGAAATTAAGGTGGTCAATCCATCAGACACAAATTTAAACTTAGAAGTTTCTCACTCATCCCCTCCAGATTCATGGCTTTCTTCATCAAATACTATCAGGTTTGCTCTAATGTACCTTGATGGAATTTATATATCTGTACTTGAGCTCCCGTGAAACTTATTATCCCCCACATATCAAATTATTTATGTTTATATATTCAATTTTTATTATTAGATTACAGCATGCTGTTAGCCAAGCAGAATTCAAAGTTTCCAAAGGTAAAATTGATATTGACTCTGATAGAGTTATAGCTGTGGCTGCTGTCGCAAGCTCTATCCCTTCCATACTTGAGGTATGTCAAATCCTTGTGGAACACAAGCAGACCAAGTAGTATTTAGTTTCTATGATTTGATTATGTTAATGGTCCTAATTTATTATCAGGTTAAAGCTCGAAGTCATGCCAATATTATTGTTTATTGTACAATTGCTTATTCCAAACCTATGTCATCGGATGAGTATTATGCGACTAAAACATCTGTTGAAAACCAAGCCATCCAGGTAAAATTATCTTAGACCTACTCATTATTGCTGTTTTCTTTTCATTTCAATAATACTAATCAAGAAATAATGCTTAATATCCAGACTATGAAGGATGCTCTTCTAAAGACAACTGCAAGTCTCAGACGTGATCACTCTGCTGTTTGGAATCAGTTGTGGAGCACAGGACTAAAAATTAGCAATTCATTGGCAGCAGGTGCCCTGAATGGACACCTGATTAATTCTACGATGTATCATGTGTTGTCTCAGTCTCCATCTCCCTATCATGTGGAGAGTGCCAATGCTACAACTAAGGCCCAAGTAATGAAAAGCTTAGCCTATGCAGACGGGTGTTATTCAAGCTACCACACTCTGTAAGAAATTAAAATTCTGTGGAACATTTTTGTAAGTACTCAACTCAAACGTATGAGGAGACTATTTAAAATATATGAAATGTTATAGGGATGCTGAAAACCTTTGGAAGGATCTATCAACTTTGTCTGAAGTGAACAATGTTGTGTCAAGGTGGCTTTTAACTTTAGAAAAGCAGGTACACTGATTTTGATAAAGTTCACTTTATCTGTCATGGATTCCAGAGCTTGATTTTTAAAAATCTTTTGTATTTTTTTACTTAGGGCTGCCCAAATCTAATCAAGGCTGGAGCCTTAGGTGTGGTTCAGGCTATGGTGTTAAGTTTTGGAAGTCTCAGATTTAGTAACCAGCATCTTGAATTCAACATCCACCCAAAGTACCTTCATAGAGATCTTGATTTCCGGTTTGTTTTCAGGAATATTCTTTATAATTATTCCTTGACTGTGGACAAATTCACCACACTATAACAATATGCTTTTCCTGCTTTTTATTTTTCAGGCGTTTGAGCTATGGAAATTCCAGTCATGTCAACATAAGTGTTGTTGTTCAGGAAGATAATCATGCTGTGTTGTATGTTGCTCTTGACCGAAGTGACAAGAACTATTACGCTTGTGATGGGGGTTGTCTTGATAAACCAGTGCAGCTTGGGTATGGTTTAGAATGATGCAATGAATTACTTTAAGTTTCTGTCTAAAGTTGTATAATCATTTTATGTACAACACTTTTCATTCTCCTACTTCTAGACCAGACAGAATTCAGTTCCCTGTCAAATTGACTGAACCTGTCACTCCTATTCTATATGTCACTTATGACCGTCAACATATGGAAGACCTTCGCCATGCCATTCATGTAAAGGAAATTAGTGAAGGTAAATATTCTAAAGATTTCTAAAATTGACAGCTTAACTTTTCTACTCTAAACCATAACTTTTCTCTATTCTTTCAGCCCCTGCTCTGGAGCACCATGTCATCGCATTGCATAAACATGGGCATCATCTAGGGGGCCTTCCAAACCTTTTCTGGGTGTCCATTGGTGTTTTAATTGTTGTATTCCATCTCTTTCTTTTCAAACTAATTTATAATGAGTACAAAGGATCTACTGATAAATTCAGGGCACGGTATGGTAAGCTCTGATTGGTCTTTTGAGTTTTCTCCTCCAGTCATAATTTATTTTGAGCATAAACTCCCCATTCAAGAGTTTTTTCATATCTTTAGTGAATGTAAGGGGAACCAAAACTTCAAGTTAAAGACTGCCTATGTATCTAACCCTTAACTTTCTTGTAGAATAACAGAACTGAATTTGGTATCTTCTTTGATGACTTGAAGGACTTGAAGGAGAGCAACTCACACACAATACAATAACAACAATATCATTTTGATTTACCTGACTGTGATCTTTCCATCCAATTTTAAGATTGTTGTTGTTTATTATATAGTATTTTATTGTGTGTATATGAACATCACTTGAAGATCCACTTGTATCACAGCTCTGCTTTTAAATTGACTTAAAATCAAGCCAATTTTGGATGTTTTATCTCTATAAATTGTACCATGTATTTAAAAAGTCAAATTTCTTTACATCTTTCCAATTTGCTAAATTGATGTAAATTGTTCTTAATTTTTGAGCTTTGAGCTAAATGAACGACAATTTAAGAACTGACCCTGACAATGTTTGTTGATTGCTGTGGAAGCGTGTATTGCTATACTTATGTTTTTGTTGTGCTTTGAATTACTCAACTAATATAGTTGTTTGTTCTTTAAAGTATTTTTTTAAATGTTGAATTTCGTTAACAATGTGATATTACATATTTATGTTGATTTTTTCTAACGAATTAAGGGGTTTCTTTTCCATCACTGTATACCTTAAATAAGTTCCTTGATCTTGATTTTATTTACTTGAGTATGTCACCTGATTTTGTTGGAGTATTTCTATCTCTTTTCCAGTGTGATTAAAATATTAAACCCAATTAATTGTACTAGTCGAATGTAAATTTCAAAATATGCTAATGTTCTAAAATTTTACACAAAAAAGCAAAGAGTCCTGTAAACCAATGTTAAATTGGAAAGACTGAGGCAAATCCCAGTAATACATAGTTGTATTCCTTGTAACCTAAAACTGCTTTCCTCCTTCTGAAAGCAGTTATTGATTTTTGTTCTGTTAGTTGTTTTTTTGTTTTGTTTTTTTTTCATCTGTTTCTGAAAACCAAACAATTTACATAGAAATTTCAAATAAATGTATTTCAACAAAAGTATTACATAGTTTTGACCCAACTTAATTATAGACTTGTTTTATTTAGCTAGTTCTAAGAATTGTCCTTGTGTACATATTTTTGTTGGTTTATGTAAAGATAATCATAGATGTTCAATAAATACTTTTATGACTTTCGATTAGTTTTTCCTTCTTGGTTCAACCAGAGGTTCGGTGGGAGTGCGGACTGTGCTCCCCCTCCCCCGTATGCCTGTACCCAGCTGATAGGCTAGATAGGGTAGAAGGCGAGGGGTGGCGAGCGGAGCGGGGACGCGGAAATCTCATTTTCCCGCTCACCAGCTTTCAAATTGCTTGTTATTGGGTTTCGCGGCCTGGCCTCGTGGCACATTGGCGTTTGCGCGGAGAAGAATGGAATCGCCAATGGAGTTTTGTATCAAAAATTTCACTGTCATCAATTTCCATCTGCATAATTATTTTTCCAAAAATAAGTATTGAGTTTTTGCGAGTTTTTGAATAATGAACAATTTTTTCGATCTATTCTTTTGTCTCCAGAACTACCATTCAGGGGTGCGGGCGGGCCCATCATGGGGTGACTGGGGTGACGTGGCACAGTACAGCGGGGGAGGGAGTCTTTCCATTCCAGCGGTTTCACGGCCCCTCTGCGCGCGGGCGCAGCTGCTCTAGAGCTGCTCCACTGCCCTATCGGGGGCGTGACGTGCGCAGCAGCCGCAGCGCGGGCCGCCGCCCCTGAATCACTTGTGGCGGTCCAGCCCACCCCACACCCTCTACACACCCCACACCCTCTCCGGGGCTGGGCCAGGCTCCCCTGGACCAGTGAGCGGTGAGGTCGCGGCGGGTGAGCGTCGCGCTATCGAGGACCTGCTGCCGGACCCCGAGGACACCATGGACGCCGCGAGTCAACGCCTCCGCCACATCCTGGGGCGCGCGCAGGGCGCCGGGGTGGCGGCCCGCGACCTGCCCGGCCTGCAGTCCGTCGTGAGGCTGGTGCGCGCCGGGGCCCGCGGCCCGCTCCCTGGGGGCCCGCTGGGCACGCTGGGGCTGGCGTCGCTGGCCGTGCCCCGCAAGGCCCGCGAGCTGCCCGTGCCCCGGCTGCGGCCGCTGCTGCTGCTCGCCGTGCTGGGCGGCGCGCTCTACGCCTGGTTGTGCTGGTGGCCAGAGCAGCGACACAGGCAGGTCAGCTGGTCAGGGCTTCGTGATGAAATACATATCAGAAAAAATGG